GTAGCATGGTAGCAACACTGACTGAAGTCTCAGAATAGGACAGTGTCCCTGCTCTCATAGACTTCATGCTCTACTGATAAATGTGGCAAACACATTTGCAAATGGATTTTACACTTAGCACACACCCGAAACATTATGTAACACGGTGGGGAAATTAATGGCAAATGAGTAGTGTTTTCTGGTTAGAAGTAAAATAAGCTTTTCTTCCCCTAAAGAGTATACAGTGCTAATAAAGGCATTTATGAATGTAACCAAGGGGAAAATCATCCAAATTGAAATGAAAAAAAAGTGTTTTTCTTTCCTTTTGGAAAGTGTAAAATGGGAGAGCGATATTTACATTACAGCAGGACCCTTTAGAGTTCATATATATGTTGGTGTACGTGGATCTTTAACTTCATGAAGAAAAGTTACTGCAAAGAAACATCAAAAATACAGATTGACAAGTACTACTCATTCAAACCAGTTTTAGGGGTGCCTGGATGGTGCAGTTGGTTGGGTGTCCGACTCTTGGTCTCAGCTCTGGTCATCTCATAGTTCGTGAGTTTGAGCCCCCACATCAGGTTCTGCGCTGATGGTAGGGAGCCTACTAGGGATTCTGTCTGTATCCCTCTCTCTCTGCCCCTCCCCCGCTTGTGCACAACCGTGTGCTCACACAGACACACACACACACACACACACACACACACACTCCTCTCTCTCTCTCAAAATAAATAAATAAACTTTAAACAAATAAAAATAAAACCAATTTTAAACAAACAGAGTTTAAACAAATTCTGAAGTTAAAAAAATATAATCATACATTTGTACTTACACATACTGTAATTTATATGTATTATACACATGAACATATGTACACAATTACAGAATTCATTGTAAGAATTCAATTTACTAGTATAATGTTCTAGAGCCCAGATTTCATAAAGTGAGGCTCACCTGTATTTAAAATACATCTGGGTGACACTATGTTGAATAAGCTAGGAGGACATTCAGTTCTCAGTAGATACTGAGAAATAATGTTTTGGGTAAGCCAAAAGAAACACACACCCACACACTTTTTGTACTCCATATTTTTTTCGGATCCACAGGACACGAATTCTGGATTCAGAAAGGATAAGAGGCCATATGGCTCTGGATCTCTACTAAGTGGTCTCCATCACATTTGTTTTTTTCTTTTCTCTTAGCCCTGGCTTTTCTTCTCATAGACTCTGTTTCCTTCCTTGCAAAAGGTAGTCCCTGATTAGAGCTGGGGCACAAGCACACCTGCATGAGTACTAGCCTCCCCCAATTATAGCATCTTTAGTGTAGGTGTAGGAGCAGGCCTTGTAAAAAGGGGCTTTCTCATTATTATTATTTTGTGGTCAAAAGGTTGCATACACTATTTTTTTTGCTGCTGCTAAAGCTTAGAAAGGGTGGAAAGCAAAATATTTTGTTAATTATTCAGGCCATCAGGTTACATAAGAGGTTCCATAGCTTTCTGCATCAAACTTGAACAGTTGAAACCACAAATTCTGTTTTTGCAGCCATAAAACATTCGTGGCAAAAGAGAGAGAGAGAGAGAGAGAGAGAGAGAGAGAGAAAGAGAGAGAGAAAATAATAAAATCCATTTTCCATTCGCTTGAAACATAAAATTTAATGTGGTGAAAAATGACAGTTTACTCCCAGTAGGAAACTGCTCAGAGCCATGTTTCACAGGCATGGTGTGGAGACTTCAAGACACATGTGCAGTCACTGAATGCTGCAAGAAATTGCTTACTGAGAGAGGATGTCGCAAGGTAAAACATGTAGGGGGCAAGGTGAATAAGGCCTTGATCTAAATGGAAGAGGTTTTCCTTCTCTACCAAAATTATTAAGCTACATCTATCCAATAACCACTGTTCGATCCTACACTCAGCTTGAGAAATGTATACAGGTAGACATAATGCAGTAGATGTCCTCACACAAAGACTGAAGACACTTGGCTGTCAGTAATAGGTGAATGTGATTATCAGACATCGAATTCTTTCTCAGAAAGATAAAGCAGCCATGAACTATAGCTGTGAGCTCCATAAAATATAGTATTTACATGATATCTGTCTTCTTTATGAATGTCTCATTCAGAGCAGAATCAAGGCATCCAATGTAAGAAGCAAAAATGTTAAGCTCCAGCTCTATCGGTAACAGGAGAAGCAAATGCAGACTCCTCCTTTAAACCCAACCGGCCTTTATTTCTTTCCTATAAAGTTAATAGTTGGACTAAGTGACTTCTAAGCCCCATTTTAACTGATATTTTATAAGAATTTTAGAAAAGGATAATTACCTGTTTATCCCAAGTCAATAGAGCAAACCAAGTAACAACTGAAAATAAGAATCGCCTTGTCCATATCTGAGTCAAGTTGAATATTATACGTGGTGTGTAGAATTTCTGAGTCTTTCTCAGACTTTTGTCTTGCCTTTAATGTTTAACTCTTCATATCAGTTATCTATTACCACGCACTGTCTAATCACTCCAAAACTCAGTGACTTAAAATAGTAAGCATCTATTATTGCTTAAAGGTCTACAGACCAGCTCGGAAGTTCTGATCTGGGCCAGGTTTGACTGCTCTCAACAGGATTGCTTATGCATCTGCAGTCCGCTTGTGGGCCAAATGGGAGATGGCTGGTCTAGGATGGTTTCACTTAACATGTCTTATGAAGCATTATCTGGTGGCCAAGTGACGCTCAGCCAAAAGTCTCTCATCATTTGAGAGAATAGCACAAACTCATTCTCATGGCAGATGGAAAGGGTCCTAAGAGAGAAGAGACACAGAGAAGGCCCACTGAAGCCTGTGTTCAGAATGGCACATTGTCAATTTGGCCACATCCTACTGGTGAAAACAAGTTGCAAGATGAGTCCAGATTCGAGGGATGGGGAAAAGGAGACCCTCTCTTGATGAAAGAAATTGTAAAGTCACATTGTAAACTGTGTGGATATGGGGAGGTATGGAGAATTAGAACATTTTTACAATCTGCCACACTATACTTAGACACTGCTATGGCTAAAGGTATGATTTGTATTTTCTAGTGGTAACAAGTGTGTTTCTCTACTTATTTTGTAGTGTTCTGTAATTTCCTTTTTTTAAATGAATTTTTTAATGTTTATTTATCTTTGAGAGAGAGAGAGAGAATGAGCAGGGGAGGGGCAGAGGGAGACACAAATCTGAAGCAGGCTGTAGGCTCCAAGCTGTCTACACAGAGCCCAATGCAGGGCTCGAACCCATGAACCACGAGATCATGACCTGAGCTGAAGTCAGATGCTTAACCTACTGAGCCACCCAGGTACCCCTCTGTAATTTCCTATAGGCAATGTCTTCCACTAAGTTTTTTTCCCCTATGTAAGCCACTCTACTTACCCTCATTCAGTATCAGATTTGTCCAAACCATATTTGGGGACTAATTAACCCCAACTTGATTATTGTAGCATTTACTATCTATTTACTCTTGGATTAATGGTATGGAAGCCTTCATCAGTTAAAATTATATCAGTCTTATTCGAAACTTGGTCCTAATATAGCTATTACACAGAAAAAGATAGATATGATCCTTACATAGCCTGGATTCTAAAATATTAGAGTTACAATTGAGTTCTGGAGACATGGAAATTTTGATATGATATCTACTACTTGCTACTATGCTTTGTAGATCATTTAACCTTTTGAGTCTCAATTTGCTTTCCTACAAAAAACAAAATAAAAGTTTACTTATCTAAAGTGTCTTCTGATGTTAACTTCTATGGATTGGTCATTTTAAGTGGACTCAGTATGCCAACATTCCTGAGTCACGTTAGACCCCTGTAACTTATTGAAGTCTTAGAATATACATGCTTTTAAATCTTTTAAGTATTCTTAATGTCTAAATAAGTAAAAATGCCCAAGTTATTCAGCATAGATTGACGTCAGCAAGTGGCTCTGACAGAGTTTAGTCAGGGATAGATCTTTAGCTACATCAGATAAAGATTAGATTCATTCCTTAAAATTGTTATCAATACTTTTTTACAATGTACTTGTGAAAAGACTGAGAATGCCTTTCCGTACAAATGTTTTCTAATAATTCTGCCGTTACTCTCCACTAGTCATGTTCAAATCTTTCCTTTTTATCAATAGTCTGTCTAAATCCAAGTAGATTACTATGACTAAAAGGAGAAAAATATTTGAGATCAAACATGGTACTGCAACATAGTAAATCTTGTCTCATTTTCGGTGTCATCTGAAAAAAGGCTAGTAATTGGAAAAAAAAAAAGATAAAATGTTTGGTATAGCTCATATGCCCCAGAAAAATAGAATTGACATTGATTCTATTGACCATTGATTACCATTTTTGAATGTGTTCTGGTGATGCTTATAGAAAAGAGATTTACCTTCACGTTCAACATTTCCTTAAGCCTTTCACAAACTTGAAATAATTTAAAAATACAAGGTGAATAAATACATTAGAAATTTTCTAATAGTTAACCACAAAAATACCGTATTACCAATTTAAAGCCAACATTATTCCCCTCCTTATTAGAATGTGGCAGATTTGACCATCAATTTAAAATATCTTTAAAGAATATAATTTAATTACTTTCTATTTGAGGGAAAAAATGCAATGCTTGAAATACTAGCTAATGAGCAAATGCAAAACTAAAAATAAGTAAGTATAAGACAGAAGAACTCTGGAATAAGCAATGTCTTTAGCATTTTAAATGCTGGTCAATACCAAAACCACTGTTTTTTGTTGTACATGTATCCTAAGAGTTTTTCCAATTGGCAAAGCAGTGGCAAGGTGCATATGCTTTTTCATACTTTTTGTTGTTTGTACAAAGCTATTTTGGTGGACTCCACACAAATACAGGGAAACAGAAGCTTGAAGCCACCACTGGAATTATTCAAAAAACACAAAGAAAACCCATGTGTTTCATTCATACCGCAATTTGGGGTGAATGTGGTTTTTGGCCAACATTTTCCAGAAAGCCACTTAATCCTAAAAATTTCTTCTAAGTCTAGATACACAACCAGAATCCCAGCTGAATGGATTCACTCAGTCTTGAGATCCAGACTGGTCCAGGATATGCAATCAACATCTTTCTGAACTCTTAGAGGATTGGAGGACATTTACAGGTAATATGGAAATAGAAAACCCTCAATGCCTTTCCAATTTTAGTAGAGCAAGAAATCACAGGCTGAATCCCTACAACTGCCCAAGACAGTTACAGGATTCTTGATTGTTTCTCATGGTGCTTGTTTTATGCTAATATACCTGTGTAATGTTCTGGAAGCAGGCTCCCTAGGATCACATCTAGACTATACTATTCACTAATTGTGGGATCCAGTCACTTAAACTGGCTCCATTTGCTCACAAATAATGTGAGGATAATATTTTGTAACTCATAGTGTTGTTAGCAGGAAGTAAGATATATGTATAAAGCTGCTTGCCATAGTGCCCAGCACACATTAAATAATAAATGTCAGCTATTGACATTGTTATTATATCATATCACCATCATCATCAACACCATCATCAGTTATACGCAACCAAATACAAAAAAAGTCCAATTATAAATCTGACATCAACCTTACATATCACATAAGATGCTTATTACTAAGAAAGGAATTCTTGCAGAATTCCTAATTGAAGAATTCCTAATATGGTGAACTGCCTTCATAACTCTGGGCTCTAATGCTCATCCGTGGCAAATCATTAAAGAGGATTGAGAATCCCATTTTTCAGGCTCATCCTAACCTCTGAAAGCCCCATTCATCCCTGGACTCATCAATCAGCATTTATGGAGCACCACATCAGACAGTGATGGAATTAAAGAAGGAGAAATGTCCCCTGCTCCAGACAGACTCATCACCCAGGGAGGAGACAGCCATATTCACAAATAATTACCGTGCATTAATGCATTGCATTTGCTCTTGGAAAGCAGCAGGCCAACAAAGAGGATACTTACATTATGCCTGAGGGGTTGGAGAAGGCTTGACACCGGAAGGGACATGGGGTCCCAGTCTTGGAAAATGAGAAGAAGCCACCAAATAGAGAAAAAGGAAAAAAAGAACTCCACATACAAAGTAGCAGGTACCACGGGGTTATGAAAGCTCTTGATATGTAATGAGAATGTAGTTAGACGTGATTGAAGCAAGAGATGTATTGTAGGGATCAAACAAGTTTGGAGAGGGAATTATGAGAATATACCCCCCACCACATTCTGCAGAAAATAAAAATGAATTAAAACATAGATAATTTAGAGGTGCACACACGAGCCTCATCTAAAAAACATGATCAAAGCAAAGTACCCCTCCCCCCAAATAATTGCTTAGATGATAGTACTTTTTACTTGCTCTTGGAAAAATCTCCCTGTGAATGCCTTCTTTCCTTCTTTTTTTTTAATGGACCAAAAGGAAACGAAATAATATTTATTGTGTCTCTTGCATTTGTTCCTTAGGAAAATGGCATTAGCCTCATATGGAAACACTTTGACAGGCCCCTGAAAATAATTCCTTAACCACAAACATGTCTTCTACTTGTCTGATCTCAAATTGTTCCAAGTGAGTATCACAATTTCAGGTCAGGTTTAAGGATATGACAGGCACTATCAGTCCATTAAATATGAATGATATATGAGGTAGAGGGCGGAGGTGTTGGCACAGAAGGAAAGACTGCCGGTGGGAGCCCCACTCCAGGTTTTGTACAGCGTCTGCCTCCCTAGGAACCTTCCAGTTCCACCTGAAGACTCTTATCGGCACTTCCTCAGCGCAGATGAAAGCGGGGGGGGGGGGGGGGGAACAATGGAACTTCTCTGTGTTCATCACCCAGATACCATCTCAGAGCCTCAGTGGAGCATGATTGTTGGGAGCAAAATAACACAGATAGGATTTCACATCCAGGCTTTGGAAATGGGAATAACAAAGATGCAAGGACACGAACAACCCCCCTCACTGCACTCCTCCCCTCCTCACCCTCTGCATCCACCTCCTTGTTGCTCTTTTGCTTCCAACTTCTAATTGGCAGACACTTGATCCACACAGCCATTTATTTCATTTTCAGAGCACACAAGGCCACTTGAGACCCACTGATACGTGTGGGAAAGTGGTGGCCATGCCGCTTGCACCTGTTGCAGGGAGCTGCCCATTGCCCCTCCCTCCCTGCTGTGCCCATTGTGTGCCACCTTATTCTGTTTCAGTAGCAGCAGAAAAGAAGTCAGAGTAGCCGGCACTCAACATGAACACATACAAAAAGGAGGCCAGAAAGCTTCCTTGTACCTCTTTCCCTCCCAGAGCCTGCCCAGTGGCCTATTTCAATAGTAAGTGTAGCAATCCTATCTCTTTGGAGAGCTACAGCATGTAAGAACCAGTAAAAGACAACAACATAAGCTTTTATTTTGATGGTCCATTGAGCATTACTGGTATGAATTAGCTTCACACACACACACACACACACACACACACACACACACACCCCTAATTCAAAACCATCCATATTTGGTATCTCCCAAGTAGACCATATCTATTACTTCTGTGCTAGTTAAATAGATTTGAGATTCAAGGCCCCAAGGACTTTTAACTTCCAAGAGAATAGGCTGCAATACCAATAAACTTTCGCAGCAACCTCCTTGGAATGCAGATTAAAATCAAGTAACTCTATAGACAGATCTTCATGACAACAGTGTAGAACACACTCAGATTCAAAGGAGAGGGGAAAGGAGCTTAGCAGCTACCATCTTGAACAACTGTGCCGCGATGAAACAAGACGAAATTTTGAAGCTGGATGGCCGAACTGCCTAGTTGGTGTCTGTTACTACGTGGAGACTGTAACTGCTCAATGGTGGTAATAATACATCATAAGACCTGGAAATGGAAAAGACCCATTAAATCATCTAGTAATGCCTTTGCCAGCACAGGATGCAGTTCGCAGAGAATGTTCCTTAAAGTGCCCCTTGGGATGAGCTCCAAAGACCATGTCATTTTATCCATCTCCAAAGAGTGCAATCCAGCTATCTACAGTATCCGATTGCTGTTATGAAATTAAACTTTGGCCTTAAAAGCATTGTTCCATACTGAACTATTCCTTGGTACCAGGTTTTCATTAAGGACCAGTCATAGCCCTTGGAGGAGGCAGGAAAGGTCATTTTATCCATTCCCCTACCTCCGGGCAGGTCTTGTGTGAAATGACACCAGCCTGGCTCTTATTATAAAATTCCCAGAGCAGGAAGTTCTATAGCCCCTGTTGTAATGTGCTTTCCCATGACACATAACCCTCATGTAGAGAGTGTTTTCTCCAGTCTAGACGAAATCTCTCCCTCCACGGTATGAAAACATCTTCCCACAGTCGCAGAGAGCTATGTGTGTCGTGTTCACCTCAGGAGAAGAGGGCAGGTTAGTAGTGCTTCCTCTGCGTTAGTCTTGATAGGGTTTTCATATCAAAGTTTACCAAAACAAGACATGATATGATAATGGGCTTTTGGAAGCCAAGGCTTGTTCTGTTCCTTTTTTATTTTTATTTTTTTTTTGCTCTGTTTTGGATTTTGATTAGTTATAAACATAAAATAGCATTCTCCTTACTGAAACAGTTAAGATTTTGATACATGTGACGTAAATACACTTCAATCTCCATTTCATATTACATTTTCATTATATTGAAAAGTTATGGATTTACTAAGTCAATTATGTGTGTAGAATCTGGAATCTAAAACCTTAACATATTAAATATTCACTATATGATATGCTAGTTATGCATCATTATTACTTATTTTTCTCTTAAAATAGATGTGCTTGGACAGGAACTTTATTGGTAATATCTTATCATACTTTTAATTTAAATTACTGTAAGTAATGGAAGGTCATGAAATAGCATATGCTGTCTCTACACTTTTACACAAATTGAAGTTGGGTTTTTTTTGTTACTTTTAATTGCTCGTTTCAAAGTTCAGAATAATGAAGCCTCAACCATCTTTCAGTAAGAAACCTGGAAATATATAACCTGAGTTTATGCTTCTGACAACTTCCTTATTTGACTTTTAATCATCTGTTGAGTATATGGGTTACCGACAAAATACTTTGAGGAAAGAAATCAAAACTGATTATCTTCATGATATTTTATTTTCTTATTTTTGAAAAAACAAAGTTTGCAAAAATTATACTAAAATATATTAGTTTTCATATTAACAGAAAAATTTTGAAAATGTATCCTATTGATCAAGTGAAATATTACAAAAGAAAAAAATACAATATAGTCATTTATGTTTCGTATTTATTTCAAATTTTTGAGAAAATTTGGAAGCATTAAATTGTAGAGTGCAAAAGAGTGAGCTGGTGCCTTTTATAAGGCATATATCATTGTCTTTCCCTTACTCTGTCTTGTGTTAAAGAAAGAGAAAGAGAGAGAAAGGGAGAGAGGACATTTTCTTAAAGTTAGCAAGAAGTATTCCAATGAATATTCCAATACGAATTTTCTAATAAAGTCGTCACACCAGAATTTCTTCACATATCATAAGAAAGTTTAACCTTACGAAAATTCTTAAGAAATGCATACCTTAACACAAAGTGGGTCAATAATCTTAACAAGTCTTTTACTTTACATCCAAGAATGCAGTGCTCCTGTAAGCCCACAATGCCTGTATACGAGGCAGTGGTATAAATATCACGCTTATACCTCACATAAAATTTTAGGAGACCTTCCTTTTCAAGTCCCTGCCTCCAAAGACACACATACTTTTTGTGGATTTCTAAACTCAGCCCGTGTTGTTGGGAAAATACTCACTTCTGTACACCGACAGTAACAGTTAACATTTTATTGAGTGCTTACCATGTGCTAAACACTCCACATGCATCATATTATTTGATTTTCATAATCACCCTGTGAAGTAGACACTATCATGATTTCCATTTTGCAGGTGAGGTTCACCAAGGTTAAGTATCTTGCCCAAGGTCACACAGCTGGTAAGTAGCATGGCCAGGATTTAAATCTGACAGTTCATCTATAGAGCCTCAGACCATATTCTATACCAGGCTTTGCACATGAATCTCTTGAAGTATCACTTTTATGTCACTCCACTTTCTTGTGCCCAACAAGTTCAACAGCTTGGAATCATTAGAAAAATAAAGGCACACAGAAAAGCAAATCAAATAGATCTGAAATAAAAACTATTTTAAAATACCTCTTTCAGTCTCATCAATAAGGATGAGAGTAAAATTAACTCCTCAGTTAGATTTGTTTTTCTTTATTTAAAAACTGAAAGGCACCCTAACTGCCTTACTAATTCGACTGCACTGTCGTTCTGTAATGCCGGATCATGTGGAAGAACAAACGGGAAAGAGACTGGCCTCCTCCTTTTCTACTAGAAATAATAGCAGAAGCAGCAGCATTTCAATATGCCATAGCCACTTCTAGGAACGTTTCTAAACTGCCTATCCTTCAAAAAGAATGAATTTAAGTACAGAAATAAAGAAAATAGAACAATCAGAAAATAATTACAGGCATGCCATTTTCAATAAAAGCGATTTTTTTTTTAATTTTAATGAAAGATCTTGTCCCTTTTCAATCGCGAATCGTTCCATGTAAACTACAAACAGGAATTGTTCCATTTTTAGGATCCAGCTGAATATTGAAATGTAGGGCTTCTGCATTTACTTAAAGGATTAAAAAAAAGCACACATAACTGTTACTAGACATGATTAGGCATTTTGTGACACAGGAAGTAATTATTTGACACGACTGGCAATATTTGCTGATTTTAGAAAGTCTGCCTCTCTCTGTGGTCAGGCGCTCATCACTAAGGAGCAAATGGATGAGTTTCAAAGCATTGGTTTGGACCATTGGAAACAGATAATCAACAGATGACAGAGAGAAACATGCCCCCCCTCCGTTTTGTTGTTGTTGTTGTTGTTGTTGTTGATTTTTTTTTTCTCCTTCCAGTTCTCCTTGTCAAAGGATGATTGATATGTGTGGAGCAGCCCTTCAAACGCCAGCCACTGCCTGAGGCACTTCCTATAATCAAAGCACACGCCCACCCAGAGCTAATTAGACATTAGATTAGTGTCAACTGATTGATTTAAAGCAGCCGGCCCTTCTTCCCCACCCCTC